CTCCTGCTTTCTCCCTTGACATTTCCCGGCCAAGATCACCCAGAAAGTCCCTTGACCACTTGGGGACCCTGGAAGACACGAGAAGGCAGGGGCTCTCTCTTCTCTGTACAGAAAAAGAGACGAGTAAAGACAGTTATGATGCAGCCCAGGCTGGATTCCTTATTTCATACTCTTTCGTACTGTGTCATTTTTTCCCTTCTGATTCTAATACAAAATGAAAAGGAGAACATGTACCAGCATGGTGGCCCAGGCCCTGGCTTCTGAGCCCTGGGGAAGCTCCTTGTCCCAACCAGGTGGCCCGGTGGCCTTGGTCCTTGGCCCAGGCCTGCAGTCCAGGCACCTTGTGATGGAGGAAAAGTTATCCTGGATCCGCTCTAGTGCTTAGAGAAACCGAGATGAGCACGGCTCCAGGTCTCAAGGATTTGGCTCGGCAAGGCTCGAGGGACTGGATCAGTGCCCCTCCCTCACTCCCTCACCCCCTCACTCCTGGAGTCAGCCTGAGGCCTGCCTTGCCTGTTGTGGTCATGGGAGAGGCCGCCTGAGCATCAAGTCCAGGGCCTTGGCCCTTCTTCCCTTCAGGCCCACTGAGTCCATCTTCCAGTCCCTGCCCAGCCTCATGTCACCTCCTTTGTCGCAGGCTACCCCCATGAGGTCCCCTGTGACAGGTAAGCAGGGTACCTGCCCCCAGGGAGAGGTCCTGGACTCAGTGGGCAGGGACCTTCTCGCTGCCAGAGCAAGCAAGAGAAAAGGGGAGCGAGTCTGCTCTTTCAGCGATTGTGCCTGTGGTGCTGAGGGTTGAACCCAGGGCCTCATGCATGCTGAAGAGGCGGTCTGAGCTGCACCCCAACCCCTGCTGGATTTGAAGTAGGGTCCTGCCAAGTTGTCCAGAGTGGCCTAGAACTTGTAAGCCTCCTCCTTTAGCCTCCTGAGGGGCTGGGATTACAGGCGCACATCACCATGCATGGCTAATTTTGCCTTTTATAATAAATCCACTCTTTGGACAAGGGCATTAATCCAGTCCTGAGGGTGGAGGCTTCTGGACCCAGTTGCCTTGGGTTAGGCCCTGGCTCCCCACACTCAGCATTGGGGGGTGAGTTCCCAACACATGCATTTTGGGGGACACATTCAAAGCACAGCACAGGGATGAGGACGTGGCTGTCTCTGGGGGCCATTATTCAGCCACCGTGGTGGGCTTGAGCCTGGTACTTCAGTGTCTTCCCTCTGGAAGGCTGCAGCGCTGTGTAAGGGATGAGGGCTCACTACTCCTGCTCTGCCTGGCCCCAGGGCCCTGTGCACCCAACACAAGCACAGGTGCAGGGCCAGTGCCTTTCTGTCCTGGTACCATGTGGCCACTCCACCTTTCATTTTTGGCCAAAGTCTTCAGAAGTTGGTCGAAAGACACAGTTTTGCAGGGCTTTCCAGGACGCACAGAGCGACGCTTATCGAGGCAAAGCGAGCCTCAGGGGACTCGAAGGGGGGCAGGAAGCCCCAGTGCCTTGCTCAGTAATTTCACCCAGTGTTCTAGAATATTCCTAGCTGTCTCGTGGGGAGGGGGAGGTTCATGCAAGTCTCCAAACTGGGACTCCTTGTACTGAATTAGGACAAACAGATGCTTGGTGACTTGATGGCTGTATGTGGGACTGGTGTTCAGAGAGAGACTCGGGTGTCCCAGAACCTTCTGGAGTCCAGGGCCTGACTAAGAGGGGAGAAGGCAGGATGACCTGATGTGGCTTCCATAACAAAGTGACCCAAAGCAGAGTGCTTACAGCCATAGAAACCTAATCTGTCACAGTTCCGAGGCCGGAAGGCTGAAATCAAGGTGTTACAGGGCCAGGTTTCTCCTGAATCCTGTAGGGAGGATCCACCTGTCTTTCCCTGTCTCTGGGCATTGCTGACCTTTCCGTGGCTTGGCTTGGGGATCTGTCACTCTGGTCCTCAGTCTTCGCAGTATCGTCTCTGTGTCCCCATTTCCCTTTTGTCAAAAGACACCAGGAAAATTGGAACAGAGTCCAATCTAATGACCTCAGCGTGTTCAAATCAGCAAAAGGCCCTGTTGCTGAACAAGGTCTCCTTCGCAGCACTTGTGGTTAGATTTCAGCCCATTTTCTGGAGGGCCTGAAAGGGTCCCAGGCTGAGGGACTGACAGCACGCTCTCAGACCCCCTCTCCTGAAAAGCCTGCAAGAGTTTGAGCCATTGTCCCCCATTCCAAGATGAGACAGGTGCCCTGACAGGCCAGGCTGCCTCTCAAGCTCATGGTCCACACTGTGCGGTCAGGACAGCTCCGAGCTAGGCGGGGACCCTTCTGGAAAGGCCCATGGCGCTGTCTCAGCCACGACAGACACAGGGGGACGCATGTCCTGGTACCATGTAGTGCCATGGCAAGGAGGGGCTTCCCTGGGGTCTGCAGAGGCCTGGGGAGGAGAGGATGGGAGGCTGGGAAGTGCATCACAGCCCCGTTCCGCCTGCTGACTCGGTTTCTTTCTCTGTCCTCCACCCGCGACAGCTCCAGGGACTGTCCTGCTCTCCTTTCTCGGTTCCATGAGCGCCTTGGCCGCCAGGCCTGGGAATCCTGCAATAAAGGCCCAGGCCGGGTTCCAGAGCGCGTGGGGAAGTGATTTCCCCACACTGCCAGGAGGGCTGGGTTATTTTTAAACTCTAGCAGATGGGGCACCATGAACCTGGCTCCCGTGTGGCTCCTAGGTTGAAGGAGCAGGTGAATGATGTCCCCTTTCAGTCCACTCTGAGTGACACAACCCTGCTAGGGGGGCTGGGGGGGCAGCAGGGGTGGGTTACCTGGGTGGAGGGCCGGCTTAGCTGTCTCTCTGACCCCAGGTAAAACACAGGACAGCAGTGATAATAGCATAGCAAGAGCCACACCTGCTGTGTCCAGCACACCAGGCCCTGTCCTCAGCATCCTGGCACCGTGCCTGCTCCTTGGCCCTCCCACCAGCCCTTGCATGACTGCTTTCCTTGCTGCTGGACTGGAAGCCAGAGCCACAGGGCACGTGCACCTGTGGCTGGTGGCTGTCACCAGCCAGCCCTGCCCTGTGCCGTGCTGCTCTCTGGCACCCTCGAGATGCGGCCCTTGTTTCTAAAGCAGACGCCGACTTCCTGCTGCTCCAGGCTGCACCCTGCCTCGTGTCTGTGGCAAGTTGGGCCATGAGCTGGCAGTCGCCATTGGATCCTGGTAGGCACTCTGCTCTCTGGGCCCTGAAGACAGCCTGCCCTGTCCTGTGTGCATCCCAGTGCTGGGTGCGCCTCCATATGCGGTACCTGTTGTCCAGGCAGACCACAGCCTCTGGTCCTCAGGGAAGGTGACAGTCCCAGGGTGGGGCCACAGAGGAGTAGGATTGGGGACAGGCTGGAGCCTGGGGCCAGACCTGGACAAAGTAGGACCTCCTGGGGGACACGCCTCATTCCACCTGCCCGGGAGCCTTCCAGTAAGGAATGGAGGATTTGGGGGCCATGGGTGTGGTCTGTGACTGGGTGGGTGGGGCCTGGGCAGAGGGCCCGGGGACCTTGGTGCTGCCTTGTCCTGACCTGAGTGTGGCCAGGGTGCCTGGACCCAGAGCTGTGCCGCAGGGCCTTGTGAGGGGGTGGTGCCCACTGAGGCCACGCCCACACCCCTGCCCTCTGCTTCTGTTTGACCCTCCAGTTGGGGTTGCAGCAAGGATGTGGCTGAGCAGACCTGAACCCTGGAGGTCAGGAGCCCTGGGAGATGGAGGCAGGGTGCCTGAGGTGTCAGTGACAAGGTCTGGAGCCTGACAGTGACATGACAGTCCCATAGGCGCAAAACTGACTGGGGTAGGTGGGGCTCCAGGAGTCTCAGCATCAGTGCGTGGTGAAGCCAGCCGAGGGACAGCTCTGGTGCAGGCCTGCAGGTGTCCACTGGACATCAGCGCTCACTGCGGGGCCGGCTCCGCCTTCCAGGGAGCATGCTGTGTGGCTCGAGGCACACTTCATCCTGCATCTCCTCCTCTTGCTCCTGGCCGGCTCCTGGATAATTCTGCTCCCTTTCACAGGTGGGAAGGGAACCCCACTCCCCCTATGGACTCAAGGCCATGTTTCCCAGGCCAGCAGGGTGCATGGCCTCTCGCTGGGCTCTACTCAGATGAGCCAGGCTGCACCTGGGTCTCTTCTGCAGCCCCAGGAAGCAGCAGGACCCCCTGCTCCCCACCCCTGGGGTTGGGAGGTTCTGTGTGTGGCAGTGGAAGGGGTGGGTGGGAGGTAGGGAGCCAGCATCTCGTTTTTCAGTGTGCTGTGCCTTCCCCATGGCCACCCTGCTCACCTGGGCTGGAGGGGGTCACACCTTCAGCCTCATGCTCCCCGCTGCCAGCCTTCCTAGCAGCCAGCTGAACATCTTCAGGGTCCCGGTGCAATGTCACCCAGGGTCCTGTGCCCCATGCCTTCCAGCAGGGACGGGTCTCCTGCCTCCATGCCAGCTGTCTCCCATGCTGCGGTCTTACTGTGTGCTGGGCCAGTGTAGGACTCCCACTGTTGCCGTGGACATGCATTGCACTGTGGGACACTGTCGAGAGAGGGGGGGCAGGGCTGCAGATGTTTTGTCCCCCGGGGTCAGCTGATCGGGGTGACACTGCATCCCAGCACTGAGCCTGGGGCTCTGGAGGTGAGGTGTCCATGAAGCGGATGTCCCGGCTCGGTGACTGGGCGTGGACAGCAGAGGCCTCACTTCCCAGTCCTCAGTTCAAGGTGCTGAGGAGAGGCTTGGGCAGTGCCCAGGCTTTCCTGGGTCCCTACCCAGTGCTTTCTTTGCAAGCCTGGCCCACTAGAAACAACTCAAGAAAGGTGAAGGAGTGGCAGGCACATGGTGCAAACTGAAACTGTTGTAGTGTCTCCAAAGTACCCTTTGAGAAGGAGTCCACCTTCCTGCCTCTTCTGGACTTTTACACGTTGGTCCAGTGTGCGTGTGCGCATGTGTGCGCGTGTCTGCCTGGCTGCCTCCTCAGCTGCCCCTGATGGCTGCTACCTCTGCCCGCAGGTCTCAGTGCTGGTCCTCTTTGCCCTGGCCTTCCTCACCTGTGTGGTCTTCCTGGTCGTCTACAAGGTGTACAAGTATGATCGTGCCTGCCCTGATGGGTTCGTCCTCAAGGTAAAGCTTTGTTTTCCCTGTGGGGGCAGGGGGGCACCTTAGCTTCTCTTCTCTCCCTTGACCTGGGGCTGCTCCTGTGTCCCTCCCAGCTGGCTGGAGCAGGCCCCGTGCAGCAGGGGCCCTGTGCTCTGTCACAACAACAGGAGCCTCACTGGTAGCTGGGCAGGTAGGCGGAGGTCAGGAGTGATGGGTAGAGGTCCTGGCTGTGACCTCGAGTCTGGGGAAGAGAAGGCAAGAGGGGAAAAAGGAAGGGACTTTGGGCCGCAGGAAGAGGGAGGACACACAGGCCCCGTGCAGAGAGAGGGGGGCCCTGCGCAAGCTGCACAGAAGAGGGGTAAGTGACATGCTTGCCACGGGCTCCTGTCTCCTGAGTGCTTGGTGCCCCGCACCCTGGATGTTCCGAGCCTTCCAGGCGTGACCGGACACTGCTCCTCCCAGTGATTGGCACTCTGAACTCCAAGCACGGTGTGAGCTGCCAGGCCCAGCAGTGTCACTGGGTGCTTTAGACTCGTGGATGGAGCACAGGTAGCGGGAGAGAAGAGTTCCCATGGCCCAGCCGGGACCTGCTTCCTCCCACACTGCTGTCCTGCACGGCTCCTGATGGCAGCGCTTCCCTCGTCCCAGTGCTCGGTCACCTCCAGGAGCTGCACCAGCAGAGGCAGTCCCTTGTGACTCTCACACCTTGCAGCATGGGCGTCCTGAGTGATCGTAAGCAGAAAAGAAGGGAAGGGGCAGGGACTAGGGCTGTATTTCTAGAAGGCTGACGCTAGGGTCCCCCCACCTTCATAGACCCTTATTCAGCGGCCCCTGTGGCAGCCCCGGGCACAGGGGGAGAGGGGCCACTGTCGCAGACTGTATGGCACCTGGAGGAAGGGGGTGTGATGGGGACGATCCCTTAGGTCCTCACTGGAACTGGGACAGACAGGCGGCGAAGTGGCTGAGGGGCCGCTGTAGTGGGCAAGGAAGAGTGGCCTGGGCGGGGGGCTCTCAGGGGGCTTCTACACCAGGCCTGCTGGAGCCCCCAAAAGCCTGACTCTTGGAGGCAGGTCTCCGCCTCCCTGTGCATCCTATTTGCGCTTTCCAGGGCAGAGCAGGAAGCCTGCGGTGACAGTAACCGGCGAGGGGGTGACATCCATTCTGCAGCCCGTGTGCACCAGCACCCGACTCAATGGCTGCTGCCCGAACTGTAGGCTGCCAGGGGCCCATTCCGGGAGAAGAGCGCCTTCAGCCCTTCCACCCTGGCTGGGGCTTCCTCTCCCACTCTCCTTGTCTCTGGGCTGTGTGGGAAGTCTCGGTCAGCTCTTGGGAGGGCGATGGCGTGGGGTGGAGGGCTGTGACCTCAGGCCGCAGATGCAGCCTGTGTGACTGGGGAGCTGCTTCACCTCGCTGAGCCTCACTTCCACCCCTGTGAAATGGGACTAGGGGCACCTGCCGCAGAGGGAGGCCTGCAGACCGTGGGGAGCCACCAAGAGGGAAACAGGAAGTGGGTGCAGACCCGGTGCCCATGCCTTTGCTGCCAGGACAGGGGAGGTGGCAAGGCAGCCCTGAGGAGCAGGGACCCCAGTTAGGGGGCCCAGTGAACCCTCCTTTAGCACTCAGAGGCTCAGGAAAGAGGAGGTCCCCGGTGTTGTGGGCTGGATGAGACGCCCCCGGCCACCCACATCTATGGGCGCAGCGGCCACTGTGTCCTAGCCGAGGCTGTCGAGGGTTCCATCAGGGTCACCCCACTGGCAGGTAGGGTGGAGACTGCAGGGATTTCCTGTCACAACTGGGAGCAGGCTGAGTGCTGTGGCCTTGGCCTGGATGTTGGATGCGGTGGGACTGAGCCTCAGGCCCTTGCGGAGATGTCTAAAATACGGATGGCTATGGCGCACATTTGCAGAGTTAAAGCTTTTTGGTGACAGATGGAGACCCCTAATGACTGGGCCTTGTGTCCCTATCTGGTAAGGAGATCCTTGGCACAAGTGTGATGGCTGGGTGCTCAGATACATATTCCAGAGACTGTGACCAGGAAGGAGGTGTGTTACCCTCTCTCGGAGTCCCAGCTGGCAGGTTTCGTGGGTCTGTGCAGTCCTGTCTCTTGCAGCTGGCTATGAGGGGGCGATGGGAAGAGCTGAGGCGTGCAGCATCCCCTCAGGGCCGTCTAGCCTGCCCCCGAGGTCCACTTGAATGCTCCTGGCTGGAAGTCAGTCACATGACCTCATCTGGCTGCAAGGCAAGCTGGGAAATGTCATCATTTCTTGGGGTGCTGTGTGTCCCCTTTGACTCAAGGGAATGGGTGTGACAGACAGTTGGCAGCCTCTGCACACCTCCCCTGTGGGGCTGGAGTGAAGGGAGCACGAAGACTCCCGTGCCCCACAGCACTGTTCCAGGTCAGTCCACTCTTGGCCTGTGAGCAGCCAGCTCAGGTGAGGCTGTCCGGCCTGATGCGTGTGGAGGGTCTCTGGAAGGGCAGCTTCCTGGCTCAGCCCCACCTGAGCCTCCTCTGTGGCTCCCTACAGCCCCGCGGCTCACAAGGCACAGCCCACGCCTCTTCTTTCCTAGCTTCTCCATTCCCCTCGGTGTGCTCCTGGTCCAGCCATCTGTCCGCAGCTTCCTGCTCCATGACCTCTGCTCTCGGGCCCTTCCTTCTGCCTCCAGTGCTTGCCTGTCCCTCTCCCTGGGACCCAGCACAGGGACACAGTCCTCACCTCCCTCCTCATGTGATTTGGTGCCTCTGGGCATGCCCAAAGTGTCAGTTTTTCAGTAGGGTAGAAGGAAGTGAGACCCGGTATAAGATACCCGGTGAGGGTGCTGCAGGAGCGTCTGTCACGGCATTGGCTGGGTCTGTTCTGTGGAGGGCTGTGCGCAGGGGTCAGGAGCACGCCTGCCTTTGGTCACTCTGTGGGCTGTGCAGGGGGACACACGCTGGCATTCCCCAGCACCCACAGTGTCTCAGTGGCTCCTGTCTTGCAGAACACCCAGTGTATCCCGGAAGGCTTGGAGAGTTACTATGCAGAGCGAGATTCCAGCGCCCGGGAGAAGTTCTACACAGTGGTAAACCACTACAACCTGGCCAAGCAGAGCATCACCCGCTCCGTATCGCCCTGGATGTCGGTTCTGTCGGAAGAGAAGCTGTCGGAGCAGGAGACGGAAGCAGCCGAGAAGTCGGCTTAGTGAGATGGGCAAGTTCCTCACAGTGTCACTTGAAGGTCAAAAGGGACTCTGAGGGACATTTCATTAAATATAACTACTGGTAATTTAGAGGTTACTCATTTACGGTGCAATTGCTTCTGTTTGCCTATGCTGCTTTGCAAATAAAACTTGCTGCCGACCACCCACGGGCATAAAACCAAGTGCATATCAGCATTGCTTAAAGGTTCTGACACACTCATGGTAAGGGTTCTTAATTTAGCTCCTTCACCAGGTTTATTGGATGCTGTCAAAAAATAAATGTACACTGGACATGTCAGGAGTTTTGACTTCAGCTAAATACTGCATTTTGTGGGGTTGATTTTTTTTTTGAAGCCACCTTGCTCTCACCCACCATACTCCACAGCCGTATCTGGAGTGGTCTCTCTCTTTGACAGGGGCAAGCCGACTCCTGTTTCTCCAGCCTCCCGTACCTGGTGTGGTGCAGAGAAGGGAGGAGGGGGCCCGTCCCGACTCCTCCGCGGGCAGCCCTGCCGCGATGCTCCGTGTGGCCTTAGCACGGCCACCCTGGACCACCTCTGGTGCCCTGTCCCCGCATCTTGAAGAGGAGCAGGCACCACCGGGTGGAGATGGCAAGGTTCTCCGCAGAGCCCAAGGAGGGGTGGGTAGGAGCAGGCCTGGGCCAGGCACTGAACAGGAAGGAAACACCACCGGCCCTTTTGTTAACTCCGAATATGAATAAATTTGCACGCGCAGCCCTGTATGCAAGTTTTTAAAAAAAATTAGCTGGGTAGGAAAAGTGACGATGTAATCGCTGGCAAGCCCGGGCTCCTGTAAGCTTTGTTCTGTGAGAAGAAGTAACTCCCTTGCTGTAGAAACCAGGGAAGGCTGGAGAGCTGGGGAGGGCACCCTGCAGGTAGGACTTCAACCTACAACCTTTGTAATTGTTTCAGTTTGAACCTTGACATTAAATGTTTACAAAATCCCCAGTTAGAGGAACTAAGTGTGTAAGACAATTAAATAGAAAATGACACTCGCTTCTACTTCATGCTATTTGAACGTGTTGTTTCTGGTGGGCATGTCTAAAGTTTCACTGTCTTTGAGTAGATTGGAAATAAACGACGAGTAGCGCAGTGTGTTGCGAACAAGCATGGTGGTCTCGGTCGCTCCAGAAGCCTCCTGGAGTGTGCTTCCAGGAGAAACACATTCTGCGATCCAGGGTGTTTGCAAGCTGTGGCCTCAGCCTGCTGGGTGTGTGTCACAGAGGCACGTGCTGCGGGGGACGATGAGAGACTGTGGGGAACTCATCAAGAGCAATAACATGTGCCAAAGCGTGTCCCGCACACACGCGCACAGCCCACGGAAACCGCACACGGCAGCCCCATTTGTTTCCCAGTAGATGTGTACTTTATTGACTGTAAATTGACTGCAATAACTTCTGACATTTCACTCTGCAAATAAAGAACTGAAGGGTACCGTGCCGCCCGAGAGAATGTCTGTCCGCACGCACGCCTCGGGTGTCTCCCCCAGAGCAGTGGCACAGCCGCGGGGCAGCGGGCCCTCCCCTCGGTGGCCTACTTCCTAGCCTGGACCCCGCTCCCAGAGCAGTGCCCATCCCCAGCCTGCCCTCGCGTCGCTGTCGGTGCAGCAGCCGTGGCGTCTCGGACTCACCGACACTGGGTGGCTGGGTAGTGTCGATGAGCCGAGGAGAGTGCGGGTTTTCCTTTCTGTTGCGCCGTGACTGTGTAGCAGCCGGCTCAGCCTGACAGGAAGCCGCGAGGAAACGGACCCAGCGTCTGAGTGGTGTCACCGGGCACGGCCTCCGGGGCAGCTGCTGGGGTGGGCAGGGGCAGGACTTCCTCTGGCCCGGGACGGGGCATGGACCCCTTCCAGTTCGGTACGTTCTCTCTGGCCGCCAACTGCCTGGGTGCCCTTTTGTTAAGCACGCGTCTGTCTCACTTGCGCCGCTCCTTGCGCGCAGTGAGTAAGCCTGGCCGTGCCGTGCCAGGTGCCGGCCCACAGGCACACGGCAGGCCTGGCGCTCGGCCCGAGCCGCTAGCTGTCGTACCAGTCGAGGAAGAGCAGGGAGAAGGAGCACATCACCAGGAAGAAGAGGATCCACACGCGGAAGCCTGCGTTGTTTTTGATGGCCTGGTGGGTGGAGCACAGGCCTTGCCTTGTTACCCACAGCCCCGCAGGGTCCCCCGGTCCCATGTCTCCTCCCCACAGCCAGCGGGGTCACTGGGCCGCCTTGACAAGATGGCTGGTTAAGAAGTGAGGCCAACAAACGGGGCTGGAGTCCCATGGAAACTGGCTCGCTGTCCTCGATGCTAAACCATGACCCTACAGAAATGTGACCCTTTGCTCCCAGGGAGCGGGGTCAGAGCCCTGGCTCCTGGAAGCTCCCGGAGGGCGGGAGCCACAGGGCTGCAGCACCCACCTCTCGGATGTCCTCGTTGCCCTCCTTGATGTTCTCAGTTGCCCCGACAACCAACTGGTGGATGCTGTCGATCTCGGCTTCCTATGGGGGAGAGGGGCCAGGTAAATACAGCCCCCATCACGGTGAGAGAAGCAACCACCTCCCAAGGGCCAGAGGCCTCACCTGCACAGTGCCCCCAGATGTAGGGATACCCAATCTTACTGAAGGAAACTCAGGGCCCAGAGAAGCTTCCTAACTCAGTGTCACAGAGCAGAGGGGCAGCAGGATTGGAAGAGGTGCCGGCCCTGTCCTCGTGCTCCATGCCCTGCCTGCCACCTTGCCCAGGCCCCTCGCTGGGGGATGAGGACACAGACCATCTTTCTCAAGTCCGGACATTCTGCTTTAAAACACACATGCTGGCTTCAGAACGCGTGCCTCAGCACTGCATCTGCAGGACGGTGAGGTCAGCGCAGGTGCTCCCAGAGAGGCTGTCCAGACACAGGATGCGCAGGAAGCAGAGCCTGGCTCCCTTGTGGGAGACCCCTGGGTCCCCACAGTGGCTTTCGGGGTTCCCCTCCCCTGGAGGGTGGCCAGGCTGCTGCTGCATCCCATGGGTGGGGAGTGCGTGAGGGTGCTGGAGAGGCCGCCGGGCTCCACATTGCTCAAGGGGCTTGGGCCACAGGCTTCCCGGCAGCGACTGTCACACAGCAGCGGGATGAGGAGGACAAGGCCCGGGGTTCTTTGTGCTGCGGCCACACCTTCAGCAAGATCTCACAGCAAGAGCTAAGTGACCCTTGCCTATGTCCCACGAACCACCCAGAAACACTAACACCGACACCTATTCCCCAGGTCTGACCCCCTGAACCCTAAGCCAAGGCCCTGGTGGAGCTGTGCCCATCCCTCCCAGGCCCAGACCCTTGCGGCAGTGGCAGGAAGAGGTGAGGCAGGGCCTCATCTGCCCTCTGCAGGACACATCAGGCCTGGGCCTCAGGCAGCCACGGGCATGAGGATCCCAGCATTAAGGATGCTGGCTACATCTCGGAGCTGGGCCGAGAGTGGGAATCAGTGCAGAGTCTGCCCACCTGGCATTCCGTGTGCACGCACAGGAGACAATGAGGTGACATTCTGGGCAGGGGCCGCGGCTGTGCTACTGAAGCAGGACAAGGCCCAGACTCGCCAAGGCCACGCCCAAAGTAATGGCAGCCCCACACACTTAGAGCACGCCGTGGGCCAGATGTGCCACGTCCTTCTTGTTCATTGGCTCTGCGCGAGGCGGGGATGCCGGTTTCATTTTACAGATGTGGAAAGGGATGGGGATGGGAGTAGTCCCTGGCCATGTGACACTGGACCCGGGCCACGCCTGGCTTGACTGCAGCTGGAGAACCTGCACACGGCAGGCTGCTGGGCCCAGCACGCGAGTCTGAGAGCATCCGTCAGGGTGCAGTCGCAAGGGGCAGCTCTACAACCCTGAACTTCCATCCTGTTGCTGGGCTCAGTACACCTTGCTCCTGGGGCTCTGAGCGATGCCAGGTTTAGGGAAAGCTACCCGTAGCCCCACCTGACACTGGGGAAACGAAGCCATCTTTTGAACCCTGCCACAGCCTGTGGTGCTGAGGCGGAAGGGAGCTTTGTCAGGTTGTAACAGTACTCTAGCCAGCTACTGGGCGGCAGCGACTCAGGACTGGGCAGGTGGACGAGACAGGACGATTGCCTTGAGACGGCAATGCTCTCCTTGAGGAGCGCGGCCTGTGACGCTGCTGGACCGAAAGCTGCTTTCCCTCAGGCTCGGGGCTAGGTGCCTCTGCGGGTCACCTCTGCACCCGGCAGCCACCCTGCAGGGTTACTGCATCTTACAGACAGGGCCCGGAGTCCAGAGGGGCTACTCGGCTCCCCCCAGGGCAGCCAAGCCAAGAGCTGCCAGACTCTAGGTCCAGACCCTGTCCTCCTGTGGGCCCATGCACTCCACCTCCCAGACGGGGTGGCCACGGGCCTGACCTGGGTCCCCGGAGGACAGCCCTTCCTGCCCTTGCCTCAGCTGCCCCACGCTGGGCACAGCGCCCACCATGCAGACACACTGCACAGCCGCAGGGCCAACCAGATCTGCGGGCAGAGATTTCTGCCTTAGGACATTTCTCTCTTGAGCTAAAGCTTGAAACAATCACATTTTTCAGTTTTGTTTACCTGTTGTAAAACTTTTTCTGTGAATATCTCTTGCAGCCTGGAGATTTCAACCACTTTTCCTTCGATTTGCCTTCAGAAAAAGAAGAATTGATATAAGGTGCGTTAGTCATTGGCTCCTAGGGATCTGACGGGAACAATATGTTTCCCCCTCCCGGGGGAAGGATGACTGCCCCCGCTGGCTCCCTCCTGACTCTGGGCCAGCCTGAGGCTATGCCCTGGTTACAGAGTGCCCAGTCTCTCAAGTCCCAGGCCTGGCCGGTCACCTGGTCACACGTGCTTGCAATTACAGACACTGAACACACCGAGGACCCAAACAACCCCTCGTCAGACACCCCCACCCGTTTAGTCTGAAAACATCACATCTAGGTTTGGCAAGTGTCTTCCCTGTTTTGGGGGTGGCATGGGTACCCTGGGGTGGGCTGGGCCTGTGTGTGTCTAGGAATGGAAGCTGGCACAGGCTAAAGTCAGCCACTGCTCGGGCACAAAGTGGCAGCTGGGGCTGCATGGGTGGCCATGACTTCCTCAGACCAAGGGAGAGGTGGGTAGGGATGGGACAGAATGGGACAGGAAGGGAAGGGATAGGAAGTCACAGAAAGAAAAGGAGCAAGTACCAGGCTTCAGGAGGAACGGTGTGGTAGGGGCCTGGCCAGGGAGTGACAGGCTGGGTGGAGGGAGGGGCTGGAGGGCTGGAGGGCTGTCGGGGGGAGCACCAGCGATAAGCACAGCATCAGGACTTTCTTTTCGGGGAGTCCGCAGTGCAAAGTCCTGCTGTGCAAAGACCCAGGCCTCGCTTTCACGATGCTCCAAACACTCTCACCGAAGCTGAGGCCTGAGTGCTTCCACTGGGGGCCAGGAGGGCCCATGGGTGCGTGTGGCTCATCGAAGCAGCCCCTGTGGAGCGATGCCTTCACCTCTGTGCGCGGGGGTGTGGTCATCACATTCAGGGCGACTTGCCCCTCCAGACCAGCCGTGCCTGTCACCAGGGCTCAGTGGAGGAACTGCGTACCCACCTCACTTCGTCAAACAGGCTGTTCATCTCCCCAATGAGTCGCTGGTTTTCTTGCTCAAACTATGAGGAAACAAATACACTCAGGATGCTGCCATGCTGGGCCTGACAAGCATCTGCTCCCCAGTCCACATGCGCCCCCTCTTCCCTGCACAGTGCAGATCTGTGTCAGACAGCCCTGCTTCAGGAAGAAACAACACCCAGAGAGCAGCTGGGCTGCCTGGGGCTCCTGCACCCAAACTTGCAGGATGCCAGCTGACATCACGGCTGTGGCTGTGAAGCAGGAGCAGCTCCTCTCTGGCCCCCAGCAGCACTGTCTTTAACATGTTCCCACTGGCTCCAACCACTAGCGGTACACGAATGATTATCCCATCGGGTGGCTTCTGCCACCTTAATGGGCCCATCCCACGCTGCCCAATGGACAGTCATGCAGGTGCCACCAGGGGTTCAGAGCCGCCCAACAGATATGGATTTCAGCTCCTCATGGACGTGTGAAAGGGAGAAGGATCTGGTTGGCGTGGGGGCTGTGGCGAGCAGGGAGGAGCCCAGGCAGAGGCTGACCTAGGCCACCCGACTGCCAGCCACACTGATGGACCCGCCAAAGTGCGGAAGATACCTGGTACCCAGGACCACTCTGGCTGAGCCAGAGGAGGTGGGCATAGGGGCTTGCCATGGGGTGTGGCCAGGAAACACTCCCCTGGAGACTATCGTCCTGCCTGGCATGCCCACACAGGTCCTGAGTCAGGGGTCCCTCTACTTTCCAGCATCCTCAGCCTGCATCTCACTTTCCTCACTTTGGCAGGATACCTTCTGAGCACGCCTTAGCACACCGGTCATTTTCTGTCTTGTGCTACACTGTGGGTGTTGTGAGCTCTTGGTGCATGCAGCTGTGTGCTGCATTTTTCAGCCTGCTTGGGGGAGGCTCTTTCCCTGCACCCTAGCCGGTGCAGGGCCACCCTGCTGCAGGACACTGGTTCTCAGCCCTGTGCACATCAGATCCCTGTCAGGCATTGGGTGGGCTGGCCCAGCGTCCAGCTCCCTGAGGGGCCCCTCAGCCACTACGAGCAGCGCCTGCTGGCTGCGGCCAAGGCACTGCTTGTGGCCTTTGAAATCAGGCATCAAAAAAGCTATTGGGAATAAAAATTTCACTTTTGAGTTTGAAAGTAGGAGCTCTGTCGACTGTCAACTCAAAGTGACTGAAGAGTCCAGTATTTAAGGAAAACATGTAATTACTTTGCTTGTAGGTGCTAATTCTTTGACTAATTCTCTTAGGTCCCACTCAGGATCCTTTTGGGGAGGCATTTTCTTTGAATTTCTCTAATGATACAATATGGCCCTGCCCTTGTAAGCCCAGCCAGCCCTTTTCTGTTCCTGAAAGAAACTGGCCAGTGGTGTGAGGTGATTAACTGCTGGACCATCCTGAGAATGCAGCCTTTGTCTCAGCCTGGGCAGGAGCAGATGTTGGCTCTGACCGCCTGTGACCCTGGGGGTGCCAGTGCCAACACAGAGAAACCAGGTCCCCAGAGGAGGGGAGAGCAGCTGCCTCAAGGTCTCGGGGATGAGGGTGAAGACAGAGGTCCGTCTGTGGCAGGAGCTTCCACGGAAGGCAGGATTATGAGGAAAGGAGTTTAAAGACGAGCAAGAGGGTGCTACAGGGCTGCTAATCTGGTTTAAAGTTTCCCACCCACATTGTGAATATACTGTCACAGAAGCCCTTTTCCAGTCTAATAATCCTCTCCATTACAGTTTTAAAAGGGAAACCACCCCAGCAAAGGCCCTTGAGTATCACACGAGGCCGGGAAGGGCATCTGTACTGCCACGAGCCCAGAGCAGCTGAGTAACGGCTCTGAGTCCACAGCCCAGGCCCTCTCTGGGCTCATCCAGATGTGCTTCACCGACCACAGCCAAAGGTCAGGCTCTGTGGCCTCACCCCCAACGCCCGTGCTGACACCAGAGCTGATCCTGGCCACAGACCGCAAGTCCCACCAGCTGGCCAGCCACACAGCCAAGGCTCCCTCGGGGGACACAGGGCAGGGACATCATTCATGCAGACCCAGAAAACAAGTGTCACCTTCACATCTTTCAAAACTGTCCTATTTATTTATTATCCATAAATGCAGGTGATTTTACTTGAGTGAAATGAATGTGGGCTGAGGAAAGGAGGAATTTTGCGACGTGACATGGGTAACAATCTGGTTCCACTCAGCCTGATGATGAAGTATCTGCGAACTCAAAGGCACTGAGATACCTGTACCGCAGGTAAGAAAGGGAAACTTACTGTGCAAGTCCTGTAACTGGGGGGGGGGGACCCCTCCTGCTTCCTGCCAAGACAGGAGTTGGTGGTCACGCACACTCCCTCCCATGAGCATGATGGGGCGGCCTCGCTGTCTATGCTAGGGGGAGGACAGCGTGACATCAGGGCTGCAGGAGACAACGGCCCCCAAGCACAGGGGCCGCATTCCCCTCGGCGGTTGTCACACACACCACGGGGCAGCCCCGGCGGGACTCTTGCCCACCCTTCTGGCTTCCTTCTGAGCCCACCCAGATGTGACGGGCGGCAGCAGTCGGTTCTGAAGGGCAAGGTGACTGGAGGAGTCGGTCCACAGCACAGGTGTTGCTCCTGTCCGTCCCCGGTCGTTACTTATGCTCCCTTCTCATTACCACAACTCCAGCAGTGCGCACAACTGAAAAGCACCATCCCAGCGATTATAAAAGACCCATTTAATCTAGGAGCCTATTTTACTGCTGGTGGAAAGACATCTATTATTAGTAAAACCATCCCAAGGCAATTTCTTCTTTAATTATGCTCTGGCAAATTTAAAACATTGGAAAAGCATATTAAGAATTAGGAAATGAGGTGGGAAAGTATACAGAAAATACATATTTAAAATATTTAAAACTCGGAATGGAAATCAGGGCAAGGGCGTTTGGGATGACCTGCTACTCGGTGAAATGGCCTTAGGACAATCGGTTAACAATAAATGATTGGGCAGAGAAAGGCGTTACCATTTGTATTTCTTCAGGGGATAACTCATCTTCACCTTTGCTGTCTCCCGAGGCTCCCAGTTCAGGTCGCATGTTGGCCTCGGTCTTTTCTGTTTAAACAAAACCAAAACAGAAACAGAAACTGAAAACAGACAGAAGGCCAAATATGCACTTTAGAGTAGGGCGCCATGGGCAGCAGGCATATTAAAAATAAGGAACAGCAGAATCTTGGAGCTTTACCCACATTTGATTATTGCTTAATACACGGCAACTGCCACGCTGACCCTCACACAGGGGTCAGGCCCGGGCCTGTGGGTATGTGAGCAGCAGTTCTAATGCTGCTCCACGTTCAGCAGTGGCAGCAAACTAAACAGACACGCTTCACATCCAGTCTGAAAGTGCACAGCACTTGAAAACACGCTCACACTCAGACCCTTTCATTATTTTTAAAGACAAGATATGCAGACATGTTCAATGTTGTTAAAAAATACACACACACATACACACTCACACACAGAGAGACTCACAATACAAGAGACGATATACTTTTCTCCAACCAGGTCCTCTCTCAGGAGTCACTGTTTTGCCATGGCCTCACAGGCTCCATCTGTCGCACGCACAAATACACAGAGCCATACCTGCCCACCCCTCCACCCAGAACATACCATTTTATGGGACAAGTGGCATATATCTTTAAGATACCAATGGTAACATATTGTTCTAACACTCGCTTTTTATGATTTATCAACACCCCTTGGAGACCCCACGGCAACCTTGCTCTTTCAGGCTGCTGTATGCCATGCCATTGTAAGGGTACCCTAGGCTTTGGTCCCTGCGTCTCCACTGCTAAGCCCATACATCCACACAATGGCACTGTGTTCTCATCACAGGACTTACCTGGGCCGGGAGCCTGGCCACGGAGCTGCTGGTTGGGGTGGGGAGGTGAAAAGCCTCATCTAGTGAATCCCAGAATCAAGACCTGATGAACACGGGAAGTGCAGCAATACCACAGGTGCCCAGGGAGGACGGCTGCCTCCCAGCATCATACTGGAGAGGCCTGGGCAGGACACAGCCGGGAGGAACAGAGTGGCGGGCGGGAGGGTGAGGAAGGCATCTGCAGAGGAGACTGTCCGTGCCATGCCTCACCAGTGCCCCGGGCTTGGCAGCCGCTCGCCAAGGACTCACAGGCAAACCTGTCTTGTTTCCCTTTCTTCTTGACCCCAGCAGACTTCCTGCAGTTAACCTAGGCCCCATGACATGGGCAGAAGTACAGGGTCTTTTCGTGGGGAAGAGACCACCATGAGAGCAGCGGTTTAGAGAAAGCGGGTCAGGCCAACCACACATGAAACGCGATTGCTGGAAACCTCTCTTCACAAAAGTCTTCACAGATCACCCACAACTCGGTACAGGTTTTTAAAAAAGCTGTTTCTTCCCAGAATAGTCACTGTAGGAAAACATACTGAGAAAGGCCTGGCGAAAGCAGCGTTATCCCTCAGGCTAGCTGGCGTTTTTCTGAGCCAACACTCTTCAAGTAGGAACACTAGTACTTTTCATCCACTCCCTGCCCCTAAGTGCTCTCTAGTTCCTGCCTGTCTTCACATTAGCACCCATTTCAAGTTTTGGCTGTTTTCTCTTAAGGATAAGAACAACAAAATTAGAATCATATAAACCTTGCTCCTATTTGAACCGAGCACAGATTAGCTCCGAGCTGACGGGAACGTTTTCTCCACAGAACCCGTGCTCTGTACTTGTTCAGCTTAGGCCGCCGGAAGCCACCTCGCCCTGCTACTCTGGGAGCCGGCATGCGGTGCAGTGCTCAGGGTCAGGTACAGACAGGGGGCCTGGCGTTCAAGACCTCCCCTCCCAGACCCCGCCGCTCCTCCCCATGCGCTCCACTGACTGCTGCCCAGGTGCCCCTCAGTGACCATGACCCACGCCCGGCTCTGTGCTGCCAGGCCGGGCATCTGCTCAGGAGCACAGCTCCCTACATCCAGAACTTGCTCAGCTCAGTGGCAGACATGCACAGAAGGTCAGGGAGGGCACAGAGGGGCTCTGCGGGTGGACATGGTGGGAGTGTGAAGGAACAGACCACCTGCCGCCACCCGCACCACCTGACCCTGCACCAGAACACTCTGTGCCATCTCATTTTACAATGGAAACAGAAAACTGAAAGTGGAGGCAAGTAAAAGGACGCCACCCATAGAGCGCAGCTTTAAAAAGTCTTCTTTGTAAATAGGGGAGGGTGGAAGAGCTGAAGGGAGGGCAGGGGAGTGGGGAACCAAGACCTGTCATGTAAAGGTGCAAGGTCCCAATGATGAATGTAACTGTACTGTATACCTAAAATGTACCAATAAACTCAGTAAGATTAAAAAAATAATAAATAAAAATCTTTTGGTCAACTGTGGATAAACTTGGCAAAATGTCTGTGAAAAGCAAGTAACAGTTTCAGCTGGCACAGGGCAAGGGCAGACACAAGCCCAGAGAGGAGCGGCGAGGCACAGGGGACGGCGCTGCGCGATGGCCAACAGGCATCCACTGCGCTCCGACTGCTGCCCACTCCCATCAGCCTTGCCGCTCGCCTCATATAAATGGTGCTGACTGGAGGGCCGTGGCCCGAGTGAATTCGGAATTTGTGACTTCGTGGGTGACGCCAGGGTGGCACGCAGAGCTGCTGACTTTGGGATCAGGGCATCTCTTCCCGACCCCTGAGGAAGGCCCTTCTCGGAGCTGAACTTTGCAGACCAGCTTCCTCACACAGGAAACACCCACAGTCACACATTCCCCAAAGGACCCCGAGAGCCACGAGAGTTCTAACTACAGTAAGGGCCTCGGGGCTCAGAAGCTGGACCACCCCAAATGCTCTTCTCGTAAGGTGCAGGGAGCCCAGAGGACAGGCAGGCAGCTTGTGTGACGAAGGCTCCTGAGCCCAACAGACCCTGCAAGAGCCCTGGGCTGCCACTCGGGAGCTTTTACTTGGACAATTTATCCAGCCTCTCTGGGCCCTGCCAAGGGTGCTGCTGAGAAAAGGGCCAGGTGCCGTCCTGAGAGTGGTCAGCCCAGGGATCAGGGAGGAGGGAGTGTGAGACCAGAGAAGGGACATGGAGAAGACCCGGGCTTCTGCGCCCCCAACCTGGGGTCACACACAGACCCCTTGCTGCTACCCCTCCGCCGTGTGATGTGGGACACGCACTCCTGGCTGCTGAGGAGGGGCCGGATGCGGACTGAAACACTCTCCCTAACCCCACACAGGCCCCGCTTTCATGTCTTCAGCACGTGCTAGGTGCCAGGAGCTGCTCTGGATCCTGGGCCACCAGTGTTCCTGGGGACAGGAAGCACGGGAACCACACTTGTGCCCTGGCCTGTGGGAAGAGCTGGCCAGGCTCCTTCTGTTTGATGTGGCATTCCCGCCGGGTGGCTGGGGGGGACAAGTGTCATCTGAATTCCTACCTGGATGTGCCTTAGTGGCAGGCTTCTCTTCTGAGTCCTTGGAAGGGGTCTCTGAAACTTGCTCAGAAGATGCAGATTCTCTTGCCTTTGCACTTGGTTCTGGTTCCAGCTTAGATCTAAAAACAAGACACTTCAGTCATCTAATTTACTTCCGAACAAGATTTCTTTCTTCCAAAAGAAGAGGCACGTGTGACCCCTGCATTTCTGTTGTCTCCTTTTACTAAGGAGCAGAGTGGCTGCCTCAGGGCCAGTGGCCACATGGGCCCAGCCCTGGTGGCAGTTTTGAGAGGACGGGCATTGCCTCTCTGGGGTGGGGGCTGCGCACAGACCCTCTGCACTCCCAGGACAGCATGGTGCCCAGCACTGGGGAGACTGCAGCAGCAGGTGCTGAGCGTGCCCACAGGTGGCACCTGCCCCACTGCCAACACACCCGGGGAGCTGGGTGTGCGCTGACCAATGAGAAAGTGCTGCTGGGTACATGCACACCCACGTCTGTTCCGAGTCCTCTCGTACAAGGAAAGACAAGGCTTGAACAGCAACTAGAGGGACCTCGGCACTTGGCCTTTCCCAGCTCCTCCCAGACTTCTGCCCACAGGGCACCTGCAGAGGGCCTTTCCTGACTTCCCATGTAAGGAGGAGCCCTTCCAAGGCTCTGCGCGTGACCCTCCACAGCAGTGAGCGGCTTGTGCCCCTCTTACTCACATGTGTCTGCCTGGCTCCATGCATGTGTGCAATGTGGAGCAGGCCTTCACCTTCAGAAGCTGTGAGCACTGACTAGTCTCAGGCCAGGACCAGTGCCTGGCACTGATCTCTGCTGGGTTAGGATCAGGGTTCCCCAAGTCCCTGTTAAAGGCTTGGTCCCCGCCTGTGGCTCTCTAGGGACAAGCTGGTACCTGCAGGAGGTGGGGCCTTGGGGAGTGGGCACTTCACAGCGATATCGAAGCCCTGCTCTTCCTATTTCTCTTTGCTTCCCAGCTACCATGAGGCAAACCGGTTTCCTCTGCCGCACAGTGTCACCACTATGTCCCATGTCGTCACAGGCCCAAAGCCACGGGGCCCAGGGACATGGACTGAAACCTGTGAAACTGTGAGCCAAAAACGAACCTTTCCTTCTTTTTTAACAAGCTGGTTATCAGGGATTTTGTCACAGTAGCAGGAAACTAACACAGTGTTCAAGAAGTTTATGCTGAATGAATGCCTTGTAAATAGCAGCAAAGAGCCAGTAAGAGAGAAAAAGTTTTGGTTATGAAATAACAGGCCTTTTAATAACTTTACCAGATTCTATGTAACACTATGAAAATCACAGGCAGAGTAGTAAAAAGATCTATGCTAAATGTCATGTCGTCAGGCAGACAGAATACAAGTGAGAGAACAGTGTAATCACACAGGAGGACGTTTGCTAACGCCAGTTAACGTTCACTGAGGACTTACCTGTATTGGCCATCTTTCTAAGTCTTCCATGTGGCTATGCGTATGTAATTTCAAATCATCCCCCTAAGGCAGGCACAGTATTAGTATAACGACCTTTCCAGAAAGGAGAAAACTGAGCTCTGTGGAAGTTCAGAGACCTGTGTGGGTCACACAGCAAATGGCGAGGCTGAGACAGGGCCTCAGGGGACCCAGGCCCGGAGTCCATGCTATGACAACTCAGTAAGGAAAGGAAAGCCTTTTTAATCATTGTGAGAACGAGAGGGCATCTTTATGGAATTACACGAACTTTAATCTCATCTCTCCATCAAAAATTCATCTAGGAAGATACACGATAGCACACATATACCACCCGGAGTCATAAGAATTCCAGAAGAAAGCATCAAAGAGTATCTTAGTGACCTTGGCGCAGACAAACTACAAGTTTATAAAATTAGACTTCCTCATCAAAAAGCTCATCAAAAGACACCTGTAGAACAATGAAGAGGAACACCACAGAATGGGAGAAAGTAAGTACAGCGCATACCTGACAAATGATATGCGGAATATATGAAGGATGACTCCATATGACAAATGATATGCGGAATATATGAAGGATGACTCCATATAACAACAAAAAGAAAAGCGACTCAGAAGGAAATGGTCAGAGACCTGAATACAGCCAACGAACACACGTTTGAGGGTGAGGGACATTTGTCGGCGGGGGATGCAAACCAAAACTGCAGTGAGACAGCCATGCACACTCGCTGAAGTAGTTTTAAGTGTCACTCAACACCGAGTATCAGTGAGGATGGGGGGACCTGGGACTTTCAAACAGTGCCAGAAGATGTGTGAAATAGTGTCCGCTACTGTGGACGACAGGGCAATTTCTTATCAGATCCGGGGAGCATGTCCAACGGGACAGAGCAACCTCCCTTTTAGAAAGAGAAACCACAAGACATGTAGAAGAGTGTTCAGAGCAGACGGTAGGATTATAGCCCCCAACGGAAGCAACCCAAATGGCGCGTACACAGGAATGGCGGTGTCAACTGTTGTACACTTATGTGGAGCTGTTCAGTAACAGCCTGCTGACAACACAACCACATGGGCAAGTCTAAAAAAGATTAAGCAAAGCCAATTAAAAACAATGCAAAAGAAACCTATTTAAAACTAAACTGAGCATTTACTCTATTTTTGGCATTGGGTGTATAATACCATCACAACATTTAATATTTAACCTCAAATACTGTTTTGGGATTTAATAACTGAGCAACCTAACATATGAGTCAATTCAAACTAGCTTGAGATAAGACATGCAGCTGCCAGAATTTTCAGATTTCTTTCCCATTACTAAATGACACATAGGTTAACCTTTTGTTTCCCCATCTCTAAAATGTGGCTATAAAAGTATCTTTCTCACTTACCTGGCACAACTGACAGCACCTAGTGGGAGCTGAACATTAGCTACTACTGTTAAGATTATGTTATTGCTGCTGCTGCTGTCGGGACTCAGAAAAGGCAGAGTGGCTCATGGAGAACTTTCTTGCATGGTCCTAGAACAATATATAGTACCTTTCTCTCACCGACAAGACACAGAGCAGCAGAGGAGAGAGGTGCTCAGAGAACCCACAAATCATCTGAGGCATCCCGAGAAGGGTGCACAGGAGCAGTCTGCACAAGGGTGCCCAGCTGCAGGCTCAGTGATGGAGAGGAAGGAAGTGAGCAATCTCACGAGACCGGCTGGGCAGGGGCAAGGGTGGCAGCACAGGCTGTCTGAGAGGGGGCAGCTTTTTCCTCAGCCGGGCTGCTCAGCAGACAAGCCGTTGTCGTTCCAGATGGCCTGGGCCTCCAGCTCACTCCAGCAATTGCACAAACCCCATGGCTGTCCAGAGACTGGGTCCTGAGCCCTGTGCTGTCTATCTTGACAAAGATACGCTACAAAATGCAGTTTGGAGACAACACAGCTTGATTCTCACCAGCCACTAATTTGCTTTATGAACTTGAACATGTTGTGATTCCCTTTTTCTTCATCTACAAAATGGGGAACACTCACCTTTCTCAGAGGGTTCTTGCAAAGGTGCATGGAGCTGGCAGGAGGAAGGGCTTAGTGTGGAGCTGGCTCGCAGCAGCTGCTCTCTGGCTCACGGTCTAAGCTTTTGGCCACAGTCCCCTCCTCTGTAAAGTGTTTTTCAGTCTTCCACTCCAACACCCATCAAGGGCTCATTCTAGCTCTCTTCCTTTTAGTTCTGTGATACTGAGAAACTGGCTCCCAATACTCTTCCAAACATATCTACCACTTAAAGTTGTTGCCAAGACTAAACAGCATAGTGGATATAAAAAATACCATTTAAAGGGAAGGGCTTTACTAGTTCTTATATTACCACTCCCAGCTTAGAAATTATTGGGGGCTTCACAGGGTAGATGCGACTTAGACAAGATTTTAAAAGAGAAGTAACATTACTAGTCCCAAGGGCAGCATGGGGCACCTGCTGGATCACAGGATGATCATTTCACTGAGGAGAGTACTCAGCTATTTATAATACAGAATTACACTCCAACCAGTCATGTATGAGAGTTCCAGTTGCTCTATACTCCCCATCTCTCACTTAAAACCTAGACATTGTAATAAGTGCGAAATGCTGTTTTGTGGCTTTTGAAAATTTTTTTTTTTTTTTTTTTTTGGTTAAACAATCATACACAGAAAGGTCTGAAGTACACTACAAGAATCCCTTTGTCTTAATCCAGCAGAGTAAGCAGATGTGTTTACCCCTGAATATTTAATGTCTTTCCTAAAAACAAGAGCATCCTTTAACATAAACAGTACAACCAGACATCAGGAATTGTGCATTGCCTTGCTACTTTTCTCATTGCTGAGACAAGACACCCAACACCCAAAGTGAAGGGAGGAGAGGTGTATTTGGCTCACGTTTTGTAGAGGTTTCAGTTCACAGTCGGCTGGCTCCAAGGCAGCATGGCACATGGCAGAGGGCATCACAGAGGGGAAATAGTTCATGGTGAGCAGAAGGTAGCGAAGTAAGCAAGGGACCTCAGCAGCTTCTTTTACACTCTTTCTAGGCTACCAGGGTTAGGGCAGTGCCAGACCAACACTCTTAATCCTAGCATGGCATCATGGATCAATCACGCACTCTGGATCCTGCCGCCTCTGAAAATCCCCACCTATGACCATATGAGGCTTTGGTGGGTAGCTAAACATAAGCTGTAACATGCATCAATACATGACTTTTCCACCTTCTCTTCAGACCCCACTCTGTTTTGACCAATTACTTCAATAATATCCTTCCAAACAAAGGGCCCAGTCTGGAGTCACACACTGCTCGCTGTTTCTCTCAGGCCCCTTTGTTTGGAAGAGTCCTCAGTCTCCCGTGTCTCCTGACCTTGGAACACCGCAATGGGCCGGTTCCTGTGCGAGACAACTCTGAGCTGGAGTTTACGTGAGGTTACGTGACACTGGCAGGCGTCACCTAAGAGACACTGCTCTCCTCGCGGTACCCATCAGGCTGCGGATGATCTCACAGCCCACCTGGTCGAGGAGGGACTGCCAGGCCCCCTGCCGTAAAGTTATGCTTTTCCCACTTGTAACTAACAAGTACGGGGTGCTCTGGCATTGAAAGGATTTCAAGTTTTTAATTTATTCATTTAGTTATTCCTATCCAGAAGGACTCAGGATGCCCTGTTTCATTCCACGGTT